GAAATGCCCCACGTTTATAATCTCCCCATTTGTAATCCCCGCCCCACTTTTGTGTTTAGTGGGTACATATGAACTGACGTTTGTTCGTTCTTACCATTTCACATATTTGCCTTTGAGGTCATCCGCCCACTTGTATATGACTTTGCACGTGTGACTGTCGCACATGGGAGCCTATTTGCTCCCTTGATTTGTACTTTTGTGGTCCAAGTGGGCTGTTTGTTTTGGACGCGTATCTACTGTCGAGGTTTGTATAATTTGTGAATTTCGCTTACCCTACTGGTACCGTATACAAACCCAGCTCCGACTTTGTTTTGCCTCCCCGGAGGTTCTGGTATTACGCGTCACTCGAAGATAACGTTCGCCCGTTACAGGCTATATTCCGTTGGAATCTGGGAGACGGAAAACCATTTCGGGAAGTGCATCACATAGAGTTGTAGGAGGGTGTGGGAGAGGACATTTGGGATGGACGAGGCCGCATGTTAGTATTGAGGAAGCTTACCGCCCTCCAGCGTTGTATCAACTAGGAAAATGTAGTAGCCGTCTCCTGGGTTCTCCGCCACAAAGATATCTGGTATGAGGCAGATATATGTAAGTGTGATTTTGGACAGCTGCCCAAAAAAGGCATGCTGTTAACATCGTGAAGTTTGTGTCAAAAAACTGAGACAGTTTGCGGATGTGTCAGTTTTTCTCGAGCATCTCGAATAAAATGGAACCCTCGCACTGGTCCTACCAGTCCAGCAGCGGAGGCTCAGTTCCGTTTTTGAAAGGTATCTGGTTTGTTGCGGAACGCATTGCACCCTTAAGGGAGAGGCAGCCGGCGCAGACAAGCGGGTCAGGAAAGTTAGATAATGGGCTTATCTGTTTGCCGTGAAAACCCGTACATTTGAGACACCGCCAGACTTTGCGGCCGTGAAACTGCATTCAAAAATTGCGTCTAATATTCGATGAACAGCCATCTAGTAGACATCCTTTGTTGTGAACAAATGGTTGTTGAAGGGAGAAGCTTGCAAAACCTAGATCATGATTGAAAGTGGGTGTTCCGCAGGAATGAAGTACAATCTGACACATGTTAACTTTGTATATGGCTTAGAAAGCGGGAGAAGTTTTCACAAATTCGCACGAGCAATAAACGAAGCCGATTTTAAACTCACCGCGCAGTCCAAGGTGACGTTTTAGTCGGTTGTGTTTAGCGCCAGTGGTAGTGTTCAATTGTGTGCCAGGTAGACTATTTAAATAAGGTTCGTAATTGATCGGAAATCAAACGGTGGTGGATTTCGGAATATCAGGTATTTCATTTGAAATCGGATAAGCATGGTCACAGGGGGAAAGGGCAGACGTGGTACATGCCGGCTTCGGTGCTTTAGGTGCCAGGCTCTAGGTACGTTCGGGAGGATTAGATTCATCAAAATGATCCCAGAACACTCCAGACCTACTGAGAAACTGAAGCCCCAACAAGCCCGCAGAAGTGTAGTCATCAAGCATACGGGCCGGAAAAGCCAGCTGCTGATTGGATGCTCAAGCAGTCAATCAGGTCAACGACTGTCGACCTTGATGGATGTTCAGACATTTCATAGAATCAACAACTTGTATAAGTTTGTAGTCCTTCGAGAAACCGAAGGCCAAATACACCATTTGCCTAATTTCAGCGGTGGTGACATTGGCGAACTCGTGCGTTAGACTGAAAAAGTGTATGCCAAGACGATATACTGCAGCCTGTTCAATACGAGATAGGATTGTACCGATTTGCCTTTAGACTCCCCTGCTAGTTTACAAGCAGTGGATGTGACGGCGTCATTTACAGTTATTTGGTGCGTGCCGGATCCTGCTCTTATATGTGGGATATATGATCACTTAATCCTGGGCAGAGCTTCACCACAGACTAGTTAAGAATCAAAAAGGTAAAACTAGGAAGGCGTATGGCAGAACCACAGCCACCGGGGAAACTACGGTAAATGTTGTTGGTTTTGGGAGCAAATACTGAACCCAAAACCACACGGGGAGGAAAGAAGAAAAGTTGAACAGAACTGGTCAATGATACAAAAGAACAGCAGAACGTACACCGAATCCCTCAAAATCTTTTGATATTAGTTCCACATCACGACACGAGATGAGAGTGAGCCTCACCCTCCCTTGTGTGCGTGGGTGTCGAAACAACAGCGTTGGAGATCACTGGGTTTCATCCACAGGCTGGATATAGTTGTCACAAATAAAATTTTGGAACTTCTCCCTAGAGAAGTTCATGATGGTAGCTTTCAAGACAGCTGCTCTATGGCCAGTCATTACGATTTCGATGAACGGCACGTGGGTGGAAACTTGGTTTTCCCCGAAAATTCAGGAGGCTGATGATTTTTTGACGTAGAGCTCCGGTAGAGGGATCACTGTCAGGAGAAGTTGTTCTGTTCCTCCTGCGTCACCCATGGAATGTGGTAGCCCAGTTTCTTGCGTTTAGTCGCATGCGAATAAACACGTGGATCATCATCTGTTCGATAGCCTATCCGCAAGGACTGCTGGCAAAGAGAGATGCGGACGTCTTCGGTTCACAGTGGCCGATTGGTGTGGAGGCAGATCATCTCTTGGGGGCTTCGGCCTTATATACTTTTCATCAGTTTGTGCATGTGGGGCTTTTGTGGGAGGTGTATTGTTTAGCTTCACATCACTCCCGTTTTGAACAGTCGTCCTGTTGTCTTGGCGCAATTATTCATGTGAATCCACACCAAAGGCAGAAAGCACTGGACTCGAGTTTCGCTCCTGTGAGAGCTCATCAGCAGTGGATATTCACTGACCGTGTCGGGGTTTGAACACTGGACACCTGACACGCGGGGCGAACATGTCGCAGCTATTCCACCAGCGCACGTTGAGCACAGCTAAATTCTCACGTCTGAACGGGTGAACGTGTTCGCACTTGAGCGATGTGATTAGTATGCCCGACGACCCAGTAACTGTCCTGATTGTGACGATCGACCGGCCCGCTTGTCAAGACTTCCCAGGCAGGTAGCTCTACAAAAACTGGAAACCGGCTGGACACATTTTTTGTTGATGCGTGT